GCTGGAACAAAATGAATAATTTTTAATGTCATTTATCAAATTACTTCAAAAATATGTATGTATCAACTTCAATTTACATATATTTATCAGATCACATTGGCAGAACTGGTAAACACAGATAGGAAATGAACGACTCATTCATTAGCTGTTTCAATATCCCCGATACAAGCCCCCAAGTATAAAAACAATAACTGTTTGTATAACTACTTTAATATTGGTGTAGTTATTTTGGGAATTAAATATTTATATATGAAATATATATCAACTGTATATTTACCTAAAGTGAACAACTCCTGCAGGGCGGTCGATCTTCGCGCGCACCACACTGCTAACTACGAGTTGACTCAGAGCCTCTTCTGTCTCCAGTTCACTGAGTCCGAGCAATTCACTCATACGTTTGAGCGTAATGCGGGTGTAGTACATCGACATGATGCGAATATTCTATGACAATGATAAATTATTATAGAATTATAGAATAAATATTTTATTAATACTAACCTAAATTATTTTATAGAGTTCGACTTATTTTTACTATATCTGAATTAAAAATGGTCTGTGTGCCACAGATATATTTTCTAACATTAGGTATATAAAACGACAAATTATTCTCGGCACTAAACACGTCACATGCAATTCTGTGCATGACCATGCAGCAATGCATATGCAAATAGAACACGCGAACGCAGCAGACCAGTACTTAACATCCACGTCGTGATAATATTATATCATATGACTTGTTTGTATTTATTATTAAAAGGCTACGCGCAACATTGCAGTACGTGACACGGGTGATGAGTGAATTAATGGAATTTAAATCGCGTAAAATATTAAACTCATTTCTAGATTTAGAAAATATTTCTCTAATTTAAATTCGACACAAACTCATTGTTAAGAATTAATAAATAATAATTATTATAACATGTTGTCTGGCCAGCAAAAATGTAAAATTATGTTTATACGCATTTGGCTCTTTGTTTATGTACAGGCCAGATAGTAAAGTCTTCATAATCACAATCAGCCAATTCACCCATTTACGTATTATACCTTTGATGTATTAGGAGATTTACGCGTTGAAAAGCCATATTTTTTACTAATGACAAAAGTTTATTAAGATAACTAAAATATAACTGTATTTGAAATTTATTTTTTTACTTACATGTTCAACAACCCTGTTTTTCAAATCATTCCAACGCTCTTGGCCTTTCTCATCATTTGAATCAAAGTATGGAGTTAATCGTAACAACTTTTCGTATGTAGAACACAATGTGTTCCATCTTATGATTTCTGGGTTGATAAACAAACCCAACAGCTGTCTAGAAAAAAACAAAAACATAAATTTTAGTACACAAACATTATCAATAAATTATTATTACTGGAAGTTTATGTTTCTACTTACTTATATTCAGGCAGCTTGTCTAAATCCTTATCCTCGTTTAGCCTGTGTGTGAGATCTGCCTGCTCGTTATCATATGGAGCCAAAATGAGGAACACAACACTGCCAATGAGAGAATCAGAACCACCAGCTTGGCCTAGAGCCCGGAAGTGTCTGCACACGGCAAGATATTGTCCATTATGTTGATCAACAGCAATCATTAAACGATAGAATTTTTCTTTCAGCTCCTGAAATAAATCAATAATAACCAAAAGTATATGAATATACTATCTAATTAAGTGTTGCTTTGAATAACAGCATGGATATCATGGAAATTAAGGTGTACTAGGGTATTCATATTACTATTTAATTTGATTATTTTTTTGTAATTTCTTTAATTGTATGAGAATTTAAATATATTCTATTACTTTCACATGTTTCTTGTCATAAATCACAACTCTAGAATAGTATAATTAGGCAAAGTATTTGAAAATTTGTGTATGTATTACTATAAAATCATAACTCAAATAACAATATTAATAATTTTACACAAATAATATTTAGAGCATTTGCATTGTGGTTGAAGTTTGTTTCTTGATATCAGCCAAGGATGATTTGAAATAATTATATAAGAAATTATTTTAGAACATTTGCAGTAATCAGACCAGTCAGTTTTAGTCATAACTTAAATAACAAAATCATTGTACTGTTTTGAATATTCACCCACCAACTATAAGACCTTCCATAATTAAACTATTGTATAGAAATATGGAGTTAGTGATGCAGGACAACAGTGTGAGATTGATGATAATAATACTCCAGCGAAAACTATTTTGATAAGTACCTTGCATTGCATGTATACTTATATGTTGTTTCCATAACCATGCCAGTTAAATATGCTATGGATACTCTTATTTTGGTGCATATGCCATTTAATAATACAAATAACATCAGCAATGATTTGTAAATAAACAAACCTGAGTACTATCTTCTTCAAAAAACTTGGTGTTTATCTTTTTAGATATTATTTGTGTGCGAATGTAATCTTTGATGGCCAAACACAATCTCATTTGTTCCAGAATAAGCTCGACTTTTTCACGTTTGTCCATCGAGCCATATGTTTCTACTTGTAATTCTTGTATAATCTTCGCAGCCTCGGTAATGTTGCCTTCTTCTTCACGTATCTTTGCTAATATGTGTGTCAGTCTAGCACGCTCAACTTCAACATAAATCTTGCCTTCTGTTATGGATCTTAATGTTTCAATAAGTTTTATTTTAGTCTCTTTATCTGGAGTTTTATCAACATAGGTATAGCATTCTTGTACCATTTTAACAACAGCCTGTTTTAGTTGTGATCTGAAATTAATTAATTTAGTCATCAACCAATTGGAAAATATGTCATTGTTTAAATCAATTTTCTTATTTATGTAATTTACTTCTTCTACAAGATTAGTGCAGATGAAACTTACAATTACAATATATCACACATAATGAAATTCTTGTCTCGAATAGAAATATAGATATTTTCCATTCAACGCTGGTCCAGTTCCGGAGACAATTAAATTTCCACCGTGAAGAGACAAATTATATTTAACATTGTACCAATTTTCTTTTCTTTAATATAAATAAAATTCTGTTAACATGATAATTCATTGCATTATGTAGTTATATATAATTTTCTATTTAGTATACTTTTTACTATATAACCTTATCTAGCGTATATTGAATGCGTCTATATAATTTAGCTCTTAGGCATACATAGTGTTGGATTACAATCCAGTTCTGTACCGAACTACACGCTCCTAATTATATTATTATATTGACTGTAATCTGTTTTGTATGCTAATAAATAAATAAATAATTTTAAAAATAATGTATTAAGATGTTTTTGATAATTTCTTATTAATTACAAAACCAGTAAAGTTTAACTTTACTTTTAGGAATTGTTCTTAGACATTATCAAGCCAAACTATTAAAAGAATAATAACTAATTTATTACAATGTATACAATTTAATATTATTCACTAACCTTCTTTTAGAGAGAAGAGCAATATGATCATTCAGTGCAGACCAATTCTTGGCTTCAAAGCAAATCTGCACTATTGTTACGAGGATTCTTGCAGTGGAAGCCATGTCAGCACCCTAAAAATTATAATATTATACATACATTTGTATTACACATACATATGGTATTATACATACGAACAAACCAATTACCATGACATATAGGAGGTTTTATTGTTTGTCACCTATGTTTCAAATTAATAATTGGACAGAAAAAGAGAGAAAAATAGAAAAAAAATATTGCTAAATAAATTTTACTTTATAAGTGTATAGGAATAGTTAGTGTGGCTACCATCTATTTTGAATAAGCATAAAAAAAAAATTTAACAATTACGGTTCTTGTTTGTTTCTCCAGTGCCAGCAATTGATCTATTGCATCCTGAACTTTTCCTTTAGAAGCCCATGACTTCCAAATTGGAATCTTTTCATCGCATGTCGCACTATAGTCCACCTAAAAAGATGAAGTAGATTAAAATACATCAATTATTAGAAAATAGGTCTAGGAACAGTTTTTCAACCTAACCTACGTTTGAGATTATTTGTTAGAAATTTACACTTACTTCCATTTTTACAATTTTGCCACTGGCATCGAGACCGCCGATATCACCGTTAGTAGTCATTTTTAAGAAAAATTAAGTAAAACGGACTCTTCAAACCTGGAAAATTATTTTAAATATTTTAGTTGAATACGAAATTATTTTCAAATATCCAAAGGTGCATATATCACAAAGACATTAAATAACACAAAATTATATTTTGTAAATAAAACAGATACATACAAATAAATTTTATTTAATAATTTTAGAAGACAATGCACAATTTCAATTTGCTTCTTAAAAAGTAAATGCAAACTCATTTGAAATGACAGTGACAGCACAAACTATAGAGATGCTACCATATTGGCAGTCACAGGATCACAGAATACCAATATCCTAGATACTGGGCAGACAAACAGCCAAGCTCAGTGAGCATGCCAAAAGATACTAGTGTTGTCGAGGTACCTCCACCATACTATGTAATGAAATTCAATCAACTTTCTATTTAACAATAACATAACAATATATATTTTTATATTTAATATATACGAATATTAACTGTATATACCTAATTGCAATTAGATATATAAAAAAATCAATAATCGACAATAACTTTCGTACATACATAATAGAATCTGTATTTTCCATAGAGCTTATGATATTTAATTGTTGTTGTTGTTGTTATTGAAGTGCTTATGTACAAAAGTACTCTGTGGTCCTATGATAGATAAAACGTTAGTATCTGTGGTTTCATTGGTTTGCTTGAAATGTTCGTGGTTCGAGTCGAGTAGATTTGTAATTCAGAAATGGCGTAGAAAGTGTCTGATTCATTTTCTTTTACATTTTGTATATAATTGTTTTAATTTTGATGCAGATCTGTTACGATTGAAGTTGTTTGTGTATGACGTCGGTTTTACACTTCGTGTGTGTTTAATGTACTTTGGATATCAAGTGATACATTTCCCTTTGTTTTTTTTTTTAACATATGCTGTAACGTATTATATATTTTCACCTAATTTTATTTATGAATTAAAATGAGTCTATCAAGGAACCTTGAAGATTCTGGAACAACAAATATTAAGGGAACTAGAAGCCATTCGGCTCAAGGTCTCCCAAGCACTAATAGCCCAGCTATGAAAATACCATTTCCTCCCCGTTTATGGATAACAGGTAAATAGTAATTACAGTGGTAATTTGTATTTACCCGATTTATAAATGATTTCATTTTATAATTTATCTTAAAATTACATTAAATTCATTTCTTATCCTAAATGATTCTTGTATCTACCTATACTTTAATTGGACTATGCAACGTCAAGGTTTCTTTTAATATTTTACATGTGCATTTTAGATGTAGAAGATGAATCTTCAGATGATATGAGTGGGAGTGTTAGGGAGGAAGGTGTTTTAAGTGCTGAGCGTCCTCGTGTCAGGTCCAGATTTCGTCATCATAAACAGAGATCTCTTAGTGTACCTATTGGTATATTTTGGGATATAGAAAACTGTCAGGTGATTATTTTTTTTTACAACTTGTACTTCATTATAAATGATTGCTACGATGGTATGGTTAATTAAGTGAAAATTCTTTTCTGAGTCTAATTCTAATTATAATATAATAGGAAGAATAAACTTACATTCCTCTAATATTTTTTTATAATTTTCTACAATAGGTTCCACGAGGGTGTTCAGCGATAGATGTTGTGGCAGCTATTAGAAATAAATTCTTGCCCGGTAGACGGGAAGCAGACTTTGTGGTGGTATGTGATGTGAGGAAAGAAGCTCCAAGTAGGTTACAAGAACTTAATGATGCCCAGGTGAGTTACTTTTTATTATCAATGGTTGTTACAATTACAATTACAATTTAATTAATGAAATCAATGTAATATGAAGATGAAACTTAATAATATTGAAACTATGAAAGTGTTTTTATTTGTTCATCACATATTAATGTCTGAATTACTTTAACACACAACATAAAAAATGATGGTCTGAAGTCTATCTAATTTAATATATTTAGTCTACAAATATTGCAAGGAATATAATAAATATGTAGTCAGAATTGAAGAATAGAAGAGGAATCATATAATTTAAAATTGTATATTTATACTATTACTATGATTATTTTCTTTTTTCATTTATAAATTTCATTCTGTACTATGAACAATTACTCTCTCCATTATCCATGGTTGATGGGTTGAAAATGCCACATGATGTTATTTTCCTCAAATGTACTACTTTTGTATTGTGTACATAAAGTTAAATAAATAATTACTGTTATGTAACATCATATAGCACATCAATCTTTTTGATTTTGCAAAATATATTAACTAGGCAAAGTTACTTTTAGAGGAATGGGAATTTGTATTGTATGATTTAAATATTATTACTAATTACTAATAGGTGAGCCTAATCCATGTGTGTGGCACACAAAAAAATGCAGCTGACGAGAAGTTAAGACAGTGTATGCGAAGGTTTGGAGAGCTGCATTCAGCACCAGCAGCACTATTACTCATATCTGGGGACATAAATTTTGCTGCAGATTTGAGTGACTTCAGACATAGGTGTGTTTATTTTACTTACTACAAATTTTGTCTCACCAAAAACTATATATAAATTGGTACATATACTTGATATCTGAAATGTTGTCTGTATTGTTCTGTAAATAACAATGCTTAAAGAAGTCCTTTTTAAAAATATTTACATTATTCTAAATATTGAGTAGGTACTATTTTAATATACATATATATATATCTTATAAAAAAGTGTATGTAATATAGACACAGTGCTTTCTTTATCCAGAATAATATGATCACATTTCCATATAATATTACATTATTTCATATACCAAAATATTTATTTTTATTTATATGTAAGTTTATAATAATTATATAGGTAATATTATGTATTATTATTTACCTACAATAATTAAAAATTTATACATTTAATTAACATATGAAAATTTTATATCAGGAAAAATATGGAAGTTATATTGGTGCATAAACAGAATACATCGTCTGCCTTAATTACATGTGCCTCTTCTCATTATTGTTACAATGATCTGACTGCACTTCTACCACGGAATCCAAAGGTATATAATTATATTAATTTAATGATCAAAAAGAAAACTTCTTAAGAGAATTATTGAACATTTTGTATTCTTTTAGTATTTTTCTTGTATTTAAGTAAACATAAATAGTTAATTTTAATTTACTTCCTTTTAATGCAAATCAGATTAGTCAAACAGAAGAAGACGAAGAGCCGCCCACCTGTGAGATGGAAGTTACTAATTTACCTGTAGACCATCCTCCTGAAAGAGTGTCTCGAAGACTAAGGAGGTTGGCAGATAATTGTGGTGGAAAAGTATTGAGGGTCACTGCGAATACTGCTGTCCTGAGGTTTCCAACGCCAGACCATGCTTCCAGGTATGTTTGCTAATCTCTCTCCGCCATTTAATCTATCTTCCTCATTGGTGTTTTAATTTCAATATTTAAGTGATGGACACACTTCATGTTGAAATACTGTTGTGATAAGATAATAAAGTGAACTATATGTAATAGTAGACTGAAATTAACTGGAACCGTTTAGTCTCTCTTTAAAACTCTTTAAAATCATCCTGAGAATATTGAAGTTTTAAAATGATACCTTCTATTAATAGATTTGTGCTTATATGCTATAACTGGCCACTGGTCTGACTCTAATCTTTATTGATACTGCTATTATTTGATTTAAACTGTCCCTCGGTCGAGGAACCTAGACAGGAAGACTACAAAGAAGAAGTGTAGAAGAAGTGTTACAATTTCACAGGGTGAAATTGTAACACAGTATTGTGCTAATAGACACCTGAAGATTATTGATTTTATTATTATTTAGTAGAATTATAGTTTAAACTTTATTTAAAAAAATAGACTATAATATTTTATGACAAATAGAATTTGAGAGTAACAAAAGTTATGATGTGAGCTATCGTTCCGATTCATATATTTTTGTATGCAATTCGAATGGCAAACAAGCTCAAGGCCCACCTGATTGTAAATGGTAACCGTCGTCTATATTCTCATTCTTTATCGTCTACTTCTTGGGAACGATTCTTGAATAGGTAATTATATGGTACGACTTTTCGCAGTCTAGGAAAAACAAAATGTAACACAAAGCGAATATGAAGTCACAATGCTAGTGAGCGAATGCATTGCGATATTTCTTTATCTTAAGCAGTAGGTGAAATCATGTTGTAAGGCTAGTTAGCACTCAATCTTCAGATTATAGTATTGTGTATCATCGTTACATGGACTATATTTACCTATTAGTATATCATTGAATGGTTTGTATGCGTAGCAGTAACAGATAAGCATGCATTGACATTGAGGAAAAATATTGCGTACTTGTATAACTAGTCTCTATAAAATGTATATAGCCAAGATTATAATTTTCCATATTTAGGTTTTTCCATATTTTATTGCTAAAATTCTATAATTTCACTAATGAATACACATATTTCCTCAGGTATCCTCAGGGTACACGTATTTGACAGAGTTAGCCGTAAGGACTAGCCAAGCGAAAAACCAGATATATAGAATGGCTTTCAGCAAAAAGAAAAATTTTATACAAATAAATAAAATTTAAGTGTCTTTATCTAGTATATAGAGATTGGTATCATCATATAAACAGCTTATCACTAAAAACAAAAAAAAAATGTCTGTTTGTTTGATCTTGCTAATCTCTGCATTTCAGAGATTAGCAAGATCAAACAAATTTGGACCTATTTTGACGGGACTTTCACTTCCAGATAGCCAATGTCATGAGGAAGTTATGTTGGGCTACTTTATTAGATATATATTTATATGGGGTTAGTGGTAACGGGTTATATAGTAAACTTGGGTGAAACCACAGTGATCAATTTAACATTTTTTTTTATTATAAAATTGAATGATACACATTTTATAATTTTGCGTCACATCAAAAATTTTATTTATTGTGACTCATTTAGTATGGACAGGCTTTATACCTATCGATTAAAAATGATATGTTTAACGAGACTAAATGTTTAAAATTGGTGAAAATATGACGTAACTCACTGTAGCATTATCAATACAGAGCATTTTATATTTGAAAGTCGGAAAATTATGGTTGAAATATATCAAGTTTTAAAATTTACTCTTATTAAAAAAACCTAAAAAATTTTGGTATGTACTTATACGAAGTCAGATTTTTTTTCTTTATTACGAGTATACTGTAATAATGTTATATTTTCATAAAATTGACAATGTTACATTGTGTCATAAGTTAGAATATATAATTCTATTATATGTTATTTGTTTGACCTTTATAGTAATTTCCGAACGTAATAAAAAAAAAGTGGGTACATTTGATTATTTGTTCTATTCCGTTATTTAATTGTTAATAAATTACCCTATAAAAGTGCGATATCCTAAAAGATTATCAGTTACATTTTAAATGTTCATTGCACCAACGGGCAGGCAGGCAGACAGTAATTTTCAACAAATTGTCTATTATAGTTTAAATATTAGCAATATTAAGTGTAATTTTAAAGATTTAATGATAAACGTTGTGGCTTTAAGTATATTACAATGTTGCTTTCTGGGTAAGTATTTTGTTTTCGTTCAAGTTAATATTCCGTATATAATTATTTCTTACAATAAATTACAAACGATGAAATATTTATCAAATCAAAAAAAATACTGTAAAATACCGGTTATCTGTTGTAATTTTACCATATTAACATACATTGACTATTAATATTTGATATCAAATTTACTACGTCATTGTCGTCCGTTATTTCAATCGCTCTACCTAATGACCTAGTTTCGTAGAAATATTATAAACTCTTATTAAACTCCATAAAGTATTGCTAAAAATTAACTATATAGGTCAGTAATATTCGTTCGTTTTGTAGTCTTGAAGTGATATAAGCGATTATTGCTTTTATAGTATAATATAACTTTAAATAAATAAAATTTAAGATAAATTGCATATCTGAGTAATAGGAATTCTATATCTAAATACCATTAATTTGCCGAGTTATTAGGAATGAACTAAAAACCGTTAATTGATACTCCCTTCTTTAAAATATAAAAAATTAAATATGTAAGAAATATAATTATACTACTATATGTATAAGTGGGAATATATTTGAAACTGTATTTATAAAGTTAATAGTAGTTCTGATTTCGTTGAGAATATACGAATTCGACGTGGCAAAAAACCGGTGTACTATCGTATGATAACGGTGTTTACTATCGACGGTTGGTAATTTAAATTATAACAATGGTGTCATATCAGTCTGATTCAAAACATGAATTCCATGTTCGCTTTAAGCCGGAATATTACAAACATTTTCAACAACCATTTTCGATCTGTAATTTAAAATGTTCATTAAATATTTTTATTATAGATCTATTACCATTGTCTTAGATAACGATAACAGTTTAAATTAAAATACGCACATAAAAGTATAAATATATACTTTTATGTGCGTATTTTAATTTTAAAATTATTATCTATATGCATGTTTTGCCTTTTTTATTTGCTTATAGTTACAGTTAGATATCTAAGTATATGAATTACAAAACTTTTATGATAGTACTGTCATTAGTATAAATTAAATATAAAACATTTATCTGTAGTGTATTAGAGTGCCCACTGAACGGTTATGGCATTTTAAAAATAATGTGGGTAATATTATTTTTCAAATGTTATATTACCGTTAATAGTTACTATTTCGTTTCTAATATATATTCGGTAATATAAATTCAAATCATATTCCTAAATTACAATGGAAGTGATATATTTGATGTTCTGTAAACATGAATGAATCATTATAATAAGAATTTCGTATAGTTACAATTTCGTTTCGTATATTTTTTCTTTAATATAAATTCAAATCATATTATGTACTTAATATACAGGGTACGATATGTATTTGATGTTTTTAAACATGAATGAATAATTATAATATGAATTTCGTGTAGTGAAATTTAAACTTAGTATCTAATAACATGCTACAAAGGACAATTAATTGCTGCCTACTTTTATCAATGCATGATAACGATGGTACTGACTGACTTTTTTTTATTAATTTATGATGGAAAGAATAACATATTATTCCAAACAGGCATACTGATGCCTGCCGATATATTTATCACAGTTTTGTGAACTGATTTTATTGATTCATTTAAAATTATGTATCAGTTTCATTTTGCCATACAGTTATGGCACACACTTTTGTGAACTGATTTTATTGATTCATTTAAAATTAGCCTTTTATCAGTTTCATTTTGCCATACAGTTATGGCAAAATGAAACTGATTATAGGTTATATAGGTTATATATTAATAAAATACTGTTGTTTATTGTAGATTTGCATTAACAATTGGTTGAGAAATCTATACATTATTAGAAATACGAAAGTGTGTTTGTTTGTCCATTTATTTATTACGTTTTCATAACAAAAGAGTTGAATCGATCTTAATGAAAGCCATAAACATATGTTGTACCACAACGAACATAGGATATCTTGCATTTATCGAAAAAGCTGTAGTTGCGGGTAATTAATAATGTTTTATATGATTTCTGTGTTGTTTGAAACCCGGGATTGTTACAATTATTTTTATTATCTTTAAATTATGACGCCTATACACCCAGTTATCCTATATAACTGAAACACGAAAAGAAATATCAGCTTTCTATGATTAAGTCTATCTTTACATATTATGAACTAAGTTTCCCGTCGCATCTTCCAGTATGGTCTTGATATCTTAATATCTCAAAAACTACTAATCGGATATTAGTGCGGTTTTCATCCATAAGGATTGATTTCAGTGGAAGCTTGTGTGTATAATTAATTATTTTTCTGTGAATTGGTTTATATTTACTGGAATTTCGACATGTTTACAAAAAAGTCGCCAAGCAATTGGTGTTACTGATACATCCAAACCTGCCGTCACGACTGTATACCAGGTGGGATAGTCAGAGGGATTGATAACTGTCGATGTTGTGTTGAACGCAAAACTTCGTGCAACATTTCCCTTAGTATATTTCAATCTAACGTCGCAGGAGCCGTGCCCACCGTTATATAAATTAACTCGATATTTTTTTTTATTTTGTAGAGCACTAAAGCGCATGGATGGTGAAGATGTATTTGGTCGGAAAATAACTACCCGTTACGCACGAAGTGTGTTCCAGTCTGCGTATTCCAGTGATGAGGGATACGGTACTGCTCCCCCTACCCAGCCACCGCACAGAGCTGCATTCATGCCTCCAATTAATCAGGTTTGAAAAATAATTTAATATTAAATACCCATGTGACTCAAATCGACTTAGAATATTGGTAGCTGTAATGTTTTTTTATAATACATAGTATTATTATAAATGTGGAAATTTATGAAGCTGATTTTTTTTACTTTTACTACCACTAATAACCCCAGTTAGCCTCTTTTTCCTACTAGTTCTTTTATGTCAAATACGTAATAGCCTATCTTAAATCGTCAAATTATATTTGACGATTTAAGATAGGCTTATCCTAGGATGTTAGTATATTTTTTATTATTCATTCTATAAAAAAATTTATTTAGTCTACTACTTCACTTTTTATGTACCTAGTTTATTAGAAATAGAAATAATCTTATTCAAATAAACTTAACATAAGCACTTTTGAATAGCCACATTTTTTTTATTCTACCGCTCATTCGGAATGCAAACTCATCATGAGAATAATGAGCAAGAAACTTGTGTGTTGCTCTTTTAAATAAATTATGTTCTAATTAGATTTACGTTAACAAGGACTAGGCATGCGACAATCAACATAGAATTGACAAACAAACTGATGGCTTAACTTTAGGCATTCTAGACTACGTCATATTTTATTTATAATGTAGCTGGTAATTTTCTTTACATTAGCAATGTTATTCACCACGTGAGAAGCTTCCAAGCGTAAATTCCGTGGCCAACGATTGGGCATTGGCCTTACAACAACTGCCTGCGCCGACACCTCCGCCTCTCGACTTCTGCCCACCGCCTGCCCCCAAGCCCCGCAAAATCAGAGGCACCCATGGTTAGTCATTATTCAATCAGTTCCAAGATAGAAATTAGACCCATTTCATTCAACTGTATTTTACTTTATGTTATTACTAATTTCAATTAATCCTTCTGCAATATTTTATCGTTTTTTTTATTGCCTTATATAAATTTTGATATTTTAGTGAAAAATAGATTGCAAAATATTGCCATCGTTATTCCATAAACTCTATTAGTGTGTTACAACATTTTCTCAAATTAAGAAAGTTACTCGGACATTAAAGAACAGTACAATGAATAGATAGCAGTCACTGGAAAGCATATTATCGTAACGACACTAAAATGTGCTACCATATTAGTGCTTATCAAATTTTACACTTAAACTTACTTAATAAATAAATTGTTAATATCTCGTTCATATAACGTGTTAGAATTATATACGCAGTTTCAGTTGTAGGTATGTAAATTTTGATAAACTGTATTTCAATAACCCTCATTACCTATGTAACATTTTTTTTTAATTAAATTATGTCATAATTTATTTTACCTAAATCTCTGAAAGTGCTCCATTCGAGCAAATATAACACTTTGAGTGTGGTTAGATAATATTAATTTGTATTGCGCGCAGGTTCAACTAATTTAGACCGCTCAGGTTGCTCATCCAGTAATAGCTGTGATGAGAGTCGTCGTGACAACAGCCAGAGCCGAGCGATGTCGCCGTGGAACTCGTCTGCGAGTTTCAGTGAGCAGAGTGAGGGTGATAGTGACAATGCTGAGCTCACCGTCTCCAACCTGCCCCCATTCGACCCTACTGTTTTACAGGTTATTATATTTCTCTTATTATGATTGCAACTTTTACTTTAAAACAAAATATGAAAAATCTAACTAACCCAACACACAAATCGAATTTATACTTTTAAAAAATCGCAATTTTGTTGTATTTCTTATGTCTCGCTATATATTTCATTATAATTGAACTGGTATTAAGAATTCTTACTAAACTGAATAGAGGTTACTGTTGAACAACATAATTATTTTAAGACAAGTAGGATAAAAGATATAATTAAAATATATATACAAGGTTCGTATCATTTTAAAATGTAGATTTCTATTTTATTGCAGGAAATGTTGACAATTCTCTTCGACCAATATGTGCCTGTTGTCCGGGTGTCGATCTGGGCGGCCGGGGAAGGTCCACTGGCGACAGTGGTACTCCGGTCAGAGTGGGATGCTCGATTGGCAATCGCCCGCATCCATAAGCGACGTCTCGACAACCAATGGACAGGTCGTAGGCTCGAACTGTCCTTAGGAAGGCCATCTCCTGCACCAAATCTAGATGTATTGCGTGCTAGGTTGCGCGCCATTTTACTAGATCAAAAGAATTATACTCTACCTCTATTACGTTTACGTGATGCTTATGCAAGCCGACACTGCTGCGCTCTAACAACCTCTGATATAGCAAAGGTGAAAGACACGGTCATAATACATGAAGGTTTTGGGAGAATGGTTCAGTTAATAGATCTAAATCCAGTGTCTAGCTCGGAGATGGAAGCAGCGCCCTGGAAGTGTCACATTCACACATCGATGAACACTGGACATGAGGATGGAAGTCGTATATTGCAACCTGTGTACATAGAGGTTGCCGCCTTAGCAAAGAATGTGCAATTGTTGTTAGAAAACCATGGAGGCGTTTTACCACTTCTAACGTGAGTAATTTTATTTATATATTGTTTTTAATCTATCTAAGCTCTTATAATGTCAATATATTTTATACATGTCTATATTGATTTAACCGAGCATCGAACTTGATATTTATTTACACATCACATACTATTTTTTACATGATTGATATCTGTTTTTATTTGAAACCTCTTGTGATATCTTTTTTTATCTAGTTTGGATACTTAGGTCACGTGGAGCTCAAACTAACTTAAAACATTGCTAGTAATTGCACTAATTGTCTATTAATAGCAATTCACCCCCGCCCCCTCCCCCCAATATCTTTTATTAAAAAAAATTTATTGTACATTATGTATCATGTTGTACATATTCATGCTGTTTTCTCGTGTAACAAGTTTGATGACTTGTTTGCGTAGTTTCGTGGAGTGTTACGAGGCGACGTTTATGCCACTAATGGTGGACGTACAGCGCGGTGTGGCTCTGGAACTGCTTCTTCGCAGTGTTCCCGGCGTGGAGGTCAAAGACAGCCCCTCGCGGCATCTCACATGGCGCACCGATGGGACTGACACGCCCCCTTCACACAGTAAACGCTTTTTCTAAATTTACTTTCTTCTATACACACACATAGATTACTTTGTTACCTAGTAAAAATTTTTGTAATTCTAGTCTTAAGTTCAAACTATACGTGTTCTGGTATCTCATCATTTGACTTTATTGTGATCCTATTATGTATTATCTTTTTAGCAGTACTTACCACCGTTACCAGACATTCACATTGCTTCTCCAGTACTAGTTTTAGGATTAAAATATCATTGTAACTGCAACTTATTTAAAATTATAACGTATTATTTACACAGGCGAGAGTTCCCGGTCTAGCGAACGAGAGCGCGGCCGGACAGCACCTGCTTTAGAACCAATACTCGCGTTGTTCGAGCGTGAACTCATCGATCTACTGCGAACTGCACCGAGGTGCACCATTGCCTTTAGCAAGTATGTGTGACCACCACATTATACAAATTTTACCGTTTTTATTGTAAACATAAATCTCAGAGAACCTGCAGAAGATTATATGGAAGAAAGGTAGTAAAGTCTTTACAAAACTGGCCACATGCAATATTGCCCAAAAACTTTTACATTGTGCTTTCATTGATAGTATATTATTTTGCAACTATAAATCCTAATGTAATGGAGATCTATCAAAAAAAAGAAGATAAATCATAGTGTATGTTTTATCTTCTTTTTTTTGTCTCTCGTTCTCTCTCGTTTGCAAATATTTTTGTGTGACAAATTTACAACGAAGTCGGTATATCCAACATATATAGTTTTGTTTTTAGTAAAATTAACTTTACTTTTATAAATATATTTAATGACTGTTAAATTGTCCACAGACTAATCCCAGCATTCCATCACCACTTCGGTCGTCAATGCCGAGTGGCTGATTATGGATTCACAAAACTCCCAGATTTACTCGCGGCTCTAAGCAATACAATTGTTGTAAGTATTTTGAATTATTTTACTCAGCGCTACATTGTACGTAATTTTAAAGTTTTTGCTGTTTCTATACTAGAAACGTTTCCTTTAGTAATTTCGAAGTGTTAACGTTAAGATCCTCTTTAAAGGTACTCGGTTCGGGTTCGTCTCGAGTTATAACAATCTCGGCAGCGGCTCAGAGCCGTCGATGGACATCCGATCTGGTGAAGCTGTTGAAAGCTCAACCTGGCCGCGTTATACTGCCCATGGAGATCCCAGAGCTATATCAGTCGACATTTGGACGGCTATTTTCGCCGGTTGACTATGGCCTGTGTACGCTGAAGGAGTTGATGCAACGCGTTGCACCGCAAGCAGTTATTGTTGATATTGACGGCACGCTCTCGTTGCCACGCCGGACTCCAACGCCTGAAGAACGCGCGCGAACTGTACAATTTGCTGTGGAAGTGAGTATATATTTTCAATAAATATCCTATTTTTTTAAGGTGAAAAAAATTAAACATAACCTTTCTGTTCTTCTTGCGACTTCTTCCATTTCTTTATAGGAATGTTACACTATATGTATAATGCTAATAATATGAAATTGACCCAATGTTATTGAAAATAAAAAAAATATAGGAGTGCCAGAATGGAGACTATATTATTGTGTAGTATTCGACTGGAAGTGTTAAAAATGCCAGCATCCTCTCTTATTTCCAAAGATTTTTTCCGAAAAATCGGATATAATTTTACTTGATTTATAATTATTTGACATATATAAAGATTGTGATTTCTAATTTAAAAAAATTACAATAATAATATTTATTATCAATGCAGGCCGTCGAACTCCTCTGCTATACACCTAATCTACGTATGGAATTCTCGCGGTTTGTACCCGCTTACCATGCTCACTTCGGGCGGCAACTACGCGTCGCCCACTACGGATGCGTGAAGCTTGTGGAGCTACTGGAACTGATACCGGAAGCGGTGGTCATATGTAAGATAACATAAGTTATTTACGTCTTTGTAATAAGTTATTGATATATACAACAAACTATAAGAAAATTTCGAAATTTGTAGTATACAATATTTCAGATCTACTTGCTGTCATTCATGTCTATGTCAGCCATTTGATATATCATTAATGGATTAATTTTTTTTATGTGCATGAGAACGCACTATTTTAACCCGTGTTATATACACAGACATATCGTTTATAAACTCTGGATCAGTTTTGATATATTTTTTAAACCCAAAGTATTTTACTTTTTTTTATACATCTCTGCCTATGTTTTACTGACATATGTATAAGTCACTTTTGACTTCATATGATATTAACCTTGATTTAAACGATAAATTACATAAAAATATGGATAAAATAGTCAATTGGATGAACCTACATAATCTAGGTATTAACTTTTCAAAAACTAAAATCATCAGCTTTCATCCATATCAAAAACAACCCCTAAATATAAACTTTAAATTTAACAACGTCACAATAGAAACAGCTAATGAATTTACACTTCTAGGTTTAGTAATAGATACCCATATAAATTGGAAAGCACACATACAAAAGATAAAAACAAAAATGTCTAGTTTCGTTTATGTTCTTCGGGAAGTGAAAAGCACTACAGACGTCTCTACTGCCCTTTCCACCTATTATGCGTTTGCACATGCATGACTCAGTTATGGGGTGGTTATGTGGGGGAACAGCGTGGACGCATCTGTTCTTTTCACTCTCCAGAAGAAATTAATACGAATAATATTTAACATAAGAAGCCGAGATAGCTGTAAACCTTATTTTATAATAAATAAAATACTCACCCTGCCTTGCATCTATATTTTGGAAGTGTGTAAATTTGTAAAAAAATATCCGCAACGGACGTAGACCATACTTTTACGCGTTGCGTAATAATAAAAAAATACAATTACCCACCTCTCGTCTCAAATTACATTCTAGTGGCCCCTTGGTATCGTCTGTTAAAATATTTAACCAACTCCCAACTTCTATAAGAACTTTAAATAAGAATAGCCTATTTATAAAATACTTAAAGGATTTACTATGTAAAAAACAATATTATAATGTAAGTGATTATTTGAATGATGTATTTTAGTTTTTATGTAACATTTAATTAAGTTATATATTTAATTTACATCCAGTATTTAATTAAGTTACATCCAGTTATATATTATAGTATATAACTGGATGAATAATAATAAATTATATGTTATAACTAGTTATGATAATAGTAATAATAATGTTATGTTTGCGTGCCCTAACAGGGTCCATAATGATCGAAAACGAATTATAAACATCTTTCATTGTAATATTGTAGAATGCAATAAATATTGAGTATTGAACAAATACATATTTTTAGCTGAATTTTTAATGAGGTTTTGAATTAAACTGCATTTACTGTGTGTGTTAAATGATAACTTATATTTACATTGATTTTGGTAGGTCTTTTTTGTAATTGATGGTTTTAACTCCCAAAGTCTAGTCTTCAATAGATATAACTTGATTGTCAAATAGATTTCTAGGTTGTATAATTGTATACATTTTATTCCAGGTGTGGAGCCGAATGGCGACCGTACTGTAAGGCTGGGTGCTCGCGCTGCGCGAGCGGCGATGGCTCAACGACTCCGCGCCATCACACCGATTCCTCTTAGTGAACTTTCTACCCAGTATGCCGCCCAGTTTGGAGCTCTACCATTGGTAATTAACTATTTTTTAATAATGATTAATTATTTATACTACTTATATTCAATAGGTCATCTAAGGCATTTGCCTTAGTTGTCCGTACCGCTGATGCATTTGCATCAGCGATATAACTTGTATCCTCTATTTAAATTTTTTCAATAGCATATTTTGGAATTATATATGTATTTCGTAGGTTTTCATTTCATTTTCTATTGGGAGATATTGGAATTGCATAATCATTTAGGGACGGCATAATATGCCTGTGTCTATCATTTATCTCTCTTCGCAGTCATCTCATTATTCACTCACTTTCTTACCATATCATGCTTAACTATATATTTTTAGGTATTTCGTTGCCCTTGCAATATAAGGGCTAACAACTAATAATACTACTACCACACTAATATCCATATCTTGCAAACATAATAACAATTATTAAATTTTACTAAATCCTCATCACGAAAAATTTACAATAGTATATTTTATTTCAGCTCGATATGCTAGATGTTACGTCACTGGAATTGCTCGTCTACGCCGCTGGTGGATGCTTGCAGAATGGCATAGTAGTCGGTCCGGGAGCGGCACCATCTTGGGCAACAGCTATGCTCGCTGCTTGCGCCGTCCTCAGCGCTGATCGTAGCGTGGCACGAGGCTCCACCGACGAGTACTTTGCTTCCGCATTCCGTCGCATGCGCATCCCGGAGCCAGACGTCCGGCACTTGGCTGCAGCGGGCGTCGTGGAAACCTCCGACCGCCGCATTCGCCTCACGCCGACCTGGAGGACGGTATGGCGGCTCGCACAACTGTTGGCCGATTGCAACTCACCGACTACTGTCAACGACATTCTAGCGCAGTATATGCACCGTTATGAATCAGTTTTCCCCTGTGCAGATTTAGGTGAGTTTAAAAAATTTGCACTTAAAAATTTTAGTAATCCCCATTTTTTCGCTTTTATGTAACTGGCGTCCTGAATGATGAAAGTTGTAATCATAACAATACATTTAGATAGCGCTAGGTTATGTATTATGTTGTGATACACTCTCATTTGTTGTCTTTTCTGAGATGTATTATGTCACCATAGGCAATAATTTCATTTTTCACATCCTTGTTCTTCGGAACCCAACTTGCTTATGAAAGTTCATTAAAAATATACCCTTGTAAGAGCTCCATAGATTAATTAATACAGCAATGTATCTACAACAGGTGTATGGAGCTTAGAAGAATTTCTACGACAATACCAGGAAGTGTTCACGGAGACTAGCGGAATGGGGCGTTGGTCGCTGTGCGAGGGCGTGACAGTCTCCCGCTACAGAGATCTGGGGTCAGCGCCAACCCACGAGGATTACACACTGCACGATACGCCCCCCGGACAGAAGGTAAGCGCTTACAATTGTGCACGCATACTAGGTTTACATTAATAATTTATTGAACTCATTTTGTTCCACACAATTTACTACACTAGCTATAGACCCAGGACTCAATAAAATTGTGTATGTTTAAGAGAACAACCTGTAATTTGGATGTCTTATGAGCGCAGTCTATAATTTTGCCTGGAGGAACAATATAAGCTTGTTATCAAAGCTAATTCATATAATCTTAGGTTTGATTATGTTAATCTATTTCAAAATAAATTTGATAGTAACAGCGTTGTATAAATAAGCACCTGGAAATACGAATGGAGTGTGTAAATAATTTATTCAAATTTTATAGGGATCGCGTGTGTTCGAGTCTCCGAAAGTAAACATTTGGTGCTCTCCGCCGGCTAGTGCATTGCCAGCCCCGACTGCTTTACTCACTCAGGAAAAACGTAAGTTTATATTAGAATTCTTAACTTTATTAATTAGTTTTTTCAGAGACTAATTTTAAAATAATACAGAAAATGTATGTTCTAATTTTATACAAACATTTTATTATTTGAATGCATAAATTAATTAGTGATTTATTTTATTATCACAGTAGTTCACGTGGGTCTAATTTTATTGGCAAAAATGTTACTACGTCACTACGTTTTTTTTATGTATCTACTTGGAGACTCATTATGTAACAAGCGTCATATCTATAAGTCTCATATCTATCTTATAATTTCACTGCCTAATCTGCACCCCTTAACCCGAAATACAGCTTACAAAGGAAATTGTTTGGCGGTTGAAATAGGCGAATTTCATGAGCTCACTGAGACAACTTTACCCTTTTTTAGTGTACCTGAAAATACACATAAAGTATGATCTGTTGTATCTTTTGTAGGTCGCACGCGTCTGGCAGCTCACTTCGACGTGTCCTAATTACCATTCCTAATAGTATTGAAATCGCATTCCTTCCTTTCCAAAACCTCTTGTGTGTGAAGATTGCATGAGTTGAAATTGTGGCGATAGTGAACCAAAGCTGTCACGGTTCGTACCCAGGGTCGCAACGAATTTTATGAACTAGATTAATACAAGTGTCCTAATTAATGTGATGTCTATAACAATAATGTTTTAGATGGCGTATATTTTCGTGTGTTTATTTAGATTAAGAACAAAATTCATTCGGAAAATGTTACAACAAAGATTGCGCTTGTCTAACGTTCAGAATGCTGGACATTCACTTATCCAGACTATTTATATTTGTTTGTTTACCATGACAACAATATTATTATAGATTTGATAATTTTGTTCTCTATTTCTTCTTAATTCTTATTTATGTCTTAGTCTTTCCATGTTTTTATTTTTAGTTGGGTTGATTAGAATTTAAGAATAATGTTTCATAAAATTTAATCGACCTTTGATTTATTTTATTCATTGACATTATATTCCCTTAGGTAAGATATAGACGGACTGAAACATAACTTGGTAATATTTTTTATTCCAGAAATGATAGAATATAACGTTGATTTTAATTTATAATATTCATTTTTGGAGAAATAACATTAATTGTACATATCATTTTAAGATTTGAGGCTCAAGTTATGTTAGGAATAGACATAGTACATTAGGTTACTAAGTAACGAAAGCGTAACAAGCTTCAGTAACATTTTTCGAATGCATACTAGAGTACAATAAATCATACAATGTTGATTTTATCAAACGAATTTTATCCCTTTATAATGTGATCTCGATTGAATAATAAAATTGCATGTAATATGGCTTATGTATTTTAGTTTAAGAAATCTTAACTATTGATTGTTATTGTTGCACAAGAGTATTACGATTAGTCGAACATTAAATTTCGGCTTTATGTACTTTTGGACAAAATATACATTTTTTCAATTATAAATGGTTATGTATAATATTGTTAATCCAATTTTTTGCAAGCTGACTTCTATGACAACATAAATCAGAAATTTGAGTCAATTATAGACGTTCAAATCTTTTTAAATAGATCTGTAGTAATAGAAAATATTATTTGATTATTATATACGCTTCCGTCTTGTGCAATGACTTTATAGTTTTATGCCCTTGATAATGGTCTAAAATATCATTGTTCCACATTGGTAAAAATATGATATATATATAGGGACATATCGATTGATTAAAATCTGTACTGAAATCTCGATTTATTCTATTTTATTATATAAAAATCACTCGTTATTTATACTCTATTTACGTATTATAGAATATGCAAAATTAGTTGTTCGAATACATTAATTACATTGTATTCGAAGTTTATGATTATCATAAATTGCGATTGAATGCTATTTGGGCCAAAACTAAATACGCCATTACTTGTTTGGATCATGTAAATTTAATATTTATAGTTACATCAACACACAGATAAAAATAAAATTACCAGTCTAACATTTGTTGAAAAAGACTGCTAATTTATTGTGAACATAGTTATGTTTAGTTAGATGAGTATGTATATTTTATGACACAATAATAAGAAACTAAATTAAAATGCATAAAATATTATTACCAGTTTTTATACAAAAAAAAATATACTTTGTATTAAATTTATTTTTATTTGTAAAATAAGATATAGAAGAATATTTTTTAATTTTATTGATATAGTGATATAATTAATTAAAATTTGTAAAAAGGCATTTTCACTGTGATACTATGTAACAATTAATGCCAGTTATGTTTAGGGTGTAATATTAAAATAAGCACAGTTCATTATTCTAAGTAAACCTAATGCATTTATGTATATAGTGTACATAATTATTGTCTAATGATTAAGGGATTAGTACAAAAATGCTATTAGTGCATAAAAAAAATAAAATACATTCAATTTGATTTTTATGGATTTATAATAATGTGGAACTTCGATATTTTATCATTATACGATTATATTCTTTGTTACCTATTGTTCACTGTGTTGATGGTAACTGATCCTCAATATTTATTATTTGTATCAATATATTTTTTCTTACTAATCTACCAGTCCGCATTTTAAATAAACATAAGTTTGAATGGTCAAAACCATTACAAATATTAATATTGTAATGCAAAGTAAAAATAAATAAAGTGCAAATTTTTAAAGTAATCTATATTATGAGGCAGTAATGATGTTGTGTCAAGTGCCAATATTAATAATTGATTAAACAATATAAATTTGATATTTATAATAAATGTTCAATGTTAAAGATCAAAATTGAGTATAAAAATGTTGAAACTTGATATTAATTAACATGACCAGTTCTAATTAGATATAAATGTTTTCTGTATGTATGTTTATTATAAATTACTAATGTGTCCATTGTTTCAATTAGTATATGGTGATACTTAAGCTTATAAATGGATTCCTTAAGACTGTAGTGGATATATATGTATATATAAGAACTTTCTAATCTAAATCTGTTTTTATGTTTATGTGACCAATAACAATGTTTTAAAATTTTAACTTTTAGCTGTAAGTAGTTCAAGTACAGTAAGAGAGAAGATGATAGTATTATTTTATTCTACATCTTCATGATTCTGTGATCTTTAATTTTTTGTTGTAGTTCCAACTAGATAGTAATATATGTGTATTGGAGTAGTCTTGTCAGTATTTGCATGAAGAAAAAAATTAATGTTGGAATAAATGTTATTTTTTGAAAACTGTGTTTATATTTAAATGAAAGTACTATGAATAATTTATTTATTTATTGCATCAACAAATACACCTAATTATATTATGAAAGTATATAACCAGTTGGAAACTAATTTATTACTTGGTTAGGTCAGATAGATTGCCGTGGCGTCGTTCCCAAATCATGCGATGCTTTTGTTTCATATATGCTTTTCTAGCATCAGCATAAGCTCCAAGGTCACCATCTGTACATATAAAGAATTGGTCCATGTTTTACTATATCCTCTGGGTACTCCGGATACTTTGTTGGTGATGACTAACTACTAAAATATAAATTTGACTTGAGTGTAGAAACACTTGGTACTAACTGACAACATTTAGGTTCCCATTTGTTCCAATGTGCTAAAAAATAAGTATTTGTACAGAGTAATCATACCTTACTTTAAATACCTACCAACATTAAGTCACCATATTGAGTACTAATTAATTATCTGAATGAAATACAGCAAAAATACTTTATCCCAAAATCATATTAATGTATGTAATTTATTTATTTTTATTTATTCATTTATTTCAGGCAACTAGGCCCATATTATAAATACCTTATAGACTAACATACATATAATATAATATTTAAAAACTAATACAATAATATTGTCTGTGTGATCACGGCACTGAAGACGGCAATCTGCCACGGTAGCGCCGATACACCACACCTTTCGGCCCGTAGTCCTCTTTCATGAAGGTGGGCAGCAAGTCGGTGGGGACCAGTGGGCTAATTATGTAACACGATATGAAATTGTTTCTGTTGAAGTTGTGATGCAATATGAAATCATTTCAATTTAAAAAATGCGATCAAGTAAGGTCGAATACATTTTAATTTATTGGGTTGTTACACTAGTTGGTTGATTTGAAACAATTTTTATTGCGTTCAAAAATTACAAAATATACTGCAGCGTTCACTTGTTCTTTTATTTTAATTTTATTAATAGACATTTAATAAAATAAAATAAAGAAAGTCTATTCTATTCTAATGAAAAAATAAGGTCAATAATTTTGAATATTTTGCATATTTTATACAAACTATTTATAATCATTAATAATATTAATCTAACCTACAAATTAAATTTTCTTTTCTGCTATGGATACCTAGGTAAGTACGTAGGTATCCATATAAATTTAAAATGATATGGGCACATCTTTTTAAATTTGTACATAATTGTAAAAACTTTAAACAAATAAATTTATTTACTTTAAACAAATCACAGAGCATCATAAACGTTGTATTCCGTTCACAGAGCACCGTATTCATTGAAATAGTTTTTTAATTATATTAATATCATAATCAACCCTAATTTTATATTAAACATTTACTCTAGTTAATACAACATTCTATGTGATTTGGGACGAAAATAAAATGTCGAATTGGCAACACTGATGTCGTGTTGTGAGTCGTGACAATTTTCCCATTTTAATAAATTTAAAACCTTTTCACGACTTTCTACGTAATATTTAATATAATAAAAATATATGTAATACTGAAAATTACCAAAACAAGATAAATAATGCTGCTAATGCTGATATTTTAAAGATTGTAACCAAAAGAAACACCTTCTAAATTGTTTCTCATAATGTAAAAACCGTTTCAATTCCACGCTGTCATTTCGGCAAAATAGCGATTACGTGACGTTGCAACGAGGTTACTAAATCGACATTCGATAGAAATAATTTTTATCGATATGTAAAGTTGCGTTTACGTTGCAATGCTATTTGACAGCGTCAAATGGCGTCTATATGATCGCATTATTGACAGATGACGTCATTTTCACTACGTTACATACGAAAATCGTTGCGAACGAAGTTACGCCCACAGGGCCACAAACGCTTTGAAACTCGCGTTGTGACTCGACTTCAGCTGCGTCACCCTCAATGTCAGGTTACTCTTGGTACGAATAATATCGACAATGTCCTGCTCCTTAGTAGCGTAATGTAGACGGGACAGGTACATTGTCGTGGTCGGTGTAGCAGCACGCAGCAGAAAGTTGGGCCCAGTGAGTGCAGTGCCACAATGATTCCTATTGACCTTGTTTGTGCGCCTCTTCTTTTGTACCACGACGAAGCCATCATCGTCGCGGTTGCCAGTGGCAGCACACGTAGGGTCAATGTTCAGTGCCGTTTTTGGCACACGCCGCTGTACTGAAGCAGCCGGTTTGCTAGCGACGACGGCGGTAAAATCTCGACGCTGTGGTTGCACCGATGATTTTGTTAGCGCTGCTTCCACATGCAGCGGTAACGGCGCTCGCGAGCTGCGGGCGGGGAGCACGGGGGGCGCGGCGGCCGGCGGTGACACCACATCTGGTGACGTCAGTGTCCACGCCGAAACCGCTGACTCCGCCGTGAACGCATCGCGGCATGCCCCACGGCGCGTGTTGATGTTCGTACGTCAAGTGACCTAGTTTCTTTTCGCGAGTCGCGCAAACTGTCCACTTCCTTGCGCAACTCACTAATTATGTGCTCTGACGCATTGAAACGTAGCGTCACATCTGCCAAACTCTTTTTTAAGGACACGATATCCTCGAGTAGGCTGGTGACATCGACGTGA